TTTTTTTTTTTTTTACATTAAATCCTGCTCCCGTTTGTAGAACGAGCCGCCTCGTGGGTCTCCGGGAGAGTCCCCGAGTCGGGCGGTGCCTCTTTCTACCCTCGCCCACTCTCCGACCGAGCGGCGAAGAAGCCAGCCGAAGAAAAACAGCCTCGCCCTCTTTCCTCTCCCCCTCCCGCTCCGCCCGGTTGCTTTACTTCAGCGCGAGTGACGGGCGGCTGGGCCAATCGCAGTGCCCAACTGAGGCAGGAGGCGGTGCGGAGGCGCGGCTGGGCCAATAAGCAGCGAGTCTCTGTCACCCTCCCCTCAGAATCGCGCCGCGGCAGTAGCTGGAAGGCCTCGGCCGGAGCCGGCCTCGGTCTCAGCCCCGGCAACGCCGAGCGGCAGGTGAGAGCAACGCCGGTCGTGGTGGGAAGCGGAGCAGAGGCGGCGCTCCCGTCTGTGGCCTTTCACGGATGGCTGTCTGTCTGGGTGGGTTGTGCGGTGCAGAGACCCTCCTCAGACCCCTCCGGCCTCGCTGTCTCGGCCGCCCGGGGGTGTGGCTGCCCGGCCGCACGTGGGGTGCGGCGCCCGACAGGCCTCCCTTCCTTTGCCAGACAGCCCCCCCTCCTCGGGAGACCGAGGGCGCTCTTTCCTCCGCGCACGTGGGAATGCCCAGACGCGTGTCGAGGTCGGGTTGGTTCCTCAGTGGCGGGGTGAGGGTGGGGGGCTTGGGGTGCGCACGAAAATCTCTGTGGGTCTTGGCTGTTATTGTGGGGCTGGGTCCGGGGAGGAGGAGGAGGGGGTCGAGGCCCTGCCTTTGTCTGCTGGGGACGCTTGTGGGAACGTAGAGCGAGAGAGAGAGAAGCCGGGACTCGCGTGGCTGCATCCTGCAGAAAGAGGCAACCTTGGAGGAAGAGACGTCGCTCCTCAATCGTAAAGAAAGAAACGGACGCCAATAAAGAAGGAAAGAGGCTGAATGGCGGGGGGGGCCGTGTTTATGCCACGCCTGGCATTTGCTTTTGCGGGGAAGGAAGGAGGCCAGCATGGATGGACGCGCGTGGATCAAGACCCTTCCTTCCCTACCCAAAGCAAGCGAACAAAAGAACCCCTCCTCCATTCTCCTGCTGTTGAAAACTAAAGAATGAGAGATAGATAGATAGATAGAATGAGAGATAGAGAGAGATAGAGNCCCATAAAAATACATTTTTATTAATTTGCTGTGAATTCTACTCATTCACATCCAGCAAAGACTTTCAAGGTAGGATTTACAGTCACAGGCCTTATCTGGCTTGGAGAGCCGCCAGGCTGTGATCTGCAAAACTTGGCAAGGAGTCTCAGAGAGTCACGAACCAATGAAGTGAACTCATTGTCTCCTGCAAACTCCACTCCCCTTTCGCTCCTCTTTTATTTCCTTTGGGAGGGGCCATTCACCCTCCACCTGTGGCCTTACTCCCAAATTGACCCCTGTCCTTTAGCTGTTCCCTTCATCTGGCAACTCTGCGCATGCGCACACTGGGAACAGGCTCCAGCTGTTCGTCTGCCTCACTGACTCTGAAGGTAGCTGATAACTGGTATACGGCTCTGGCCTCCTCTCTGCCTCCAACACAGAGCCCTCGTCAGAGCCTTCCCCCCGATTCCAGGACTGGTCGCTGTTCCTCCTCAACCTCCTCAAGGTCTGAATCTGCTGCCAGCTCTGCTGGCGGGCCACAACACAAGCAAATAAATAAATAAATAAATCTCACCACCACCACCCACGTCGAACTCTGAAATCTGCGCGCTGGCCTCAGTACGTTCAACCTTTCGTCGTCTGCAGGAATGACAGTAAACCAACTTGTTAGTGGGAAAGGATTTCATGGCAACCTTTGAGGGTGGTTTGTTCTCAGTCTCCCTCACCAAGGACTTTCTCTCTTACCGCTTCCCACCAACCAAGGCGGTGAGGGCATCTACCAGTTGCCGGTGTTTCTTGGCTGCCCCTTCCTCGTCCACCTGGGGAACAAAAAGACACCCCCAATGAGCAAGAACTCATCAGTTTAACATTTTACCAAGTTATGAAACATTGTAAAATACAAAATGCAAAAAGTAAATAGAAAAACAGTGGGAAAGAAAAGGGGGAAGAGAAAGCGAGGAAAGATAAGGAAAAAGAAAGAAAAAGAAACAGCGACTTCTGATTCTCACTGATGCAGTAAAATAAGGCATTAACATCATAATAATTTGAACAAGCCGTTTCTCTAAAGACCTATCAATCTACTCGGTAAAATCGCAAAACCAAAGTTTCATTCTTTTCCACTTCAAGTTGAGAAGCAGTTTCCAAGGGGAAACAAAAGTTTGCCATTTCAGCCAACTACATCAGCTTTTGCAGCCATTCGTCCAGTGGTGAAATTCATTTTTTTTTTACTATTTTTTTAAAAATTTGCCTTTGGTGCATAAGATCTCAGCGTACATAAAACATGGAAGTGATAAATCATGGAAATATGGTCGCAAGTCAAGAACTACTTGTATTTAAATCGTTATAGAGTATAAGTACCATACTAATTTTTATGTAATAGGACATTCCCCCCCCGCCCGCCCTTCCAACATGCTACAGTGGCAAAACTTCCCAATTCACTCATTAAATGCAGGAAAAGGCAGCCATCTGCCGTCGCTGGTGGAAATGCATCCTTGCCGCTTATCCGATCCCGTGCAGAGAACGATTCCATTAAATCAAAACTTCCAGAATCAGAAGAGATTCGGGGAACGATGACCGAAGCCAGAAGACACCCCAAGGGATCTTCTCTTGGAAAACCTCACCTCTTCCACCTCGTCCTCCTCCTCGCTCGGGATCAGCTCCCTCTCGGAGGGATCTTCCTCTTCCATAGCCTCCATGGGGGCACTAGGGTTGGACTAGATAACCTTCAAGGTCCCTTTCCAACTCTGTTAATCCTGTTAATTTCCTGTTAACCACCTTTCCTTGCCAAACAGGCTACAGAACACGTGTTAAGAGTCCTCTCTGCCGTAAAGCGCGCAGGCGGTTCCGCCTTTGAAGCCAGACTTTTGCAGCAGTTCCGCCCTTTCCCCCCTTTGGAATTACAGTACAGGGGCCGCTCTTGTCCTGTGCGGGTACGCCCCAAGGGTATTTACATATGCTAATTATTTAAATCGTATGCAAATTGGCAATGATACCCATTCCCAGGCGTTGGGAAAGGACTCTGGTAAAGACTTCCTCCAAGCCTTATTCCGATTGCAGGGCGAGGTCCCGGGCAATGTAATAACCAAATGGGCGGGGCTACCGCTGACCGCTCCGCCCCTTTGGAATCTGGGCCACCGTGCGGGGGGGGAGGGCGCGGCTTCCCAGAGCCAATGAACTATAGGAATTCAACGTCGGCCCCGCCCATCCGCTTCGATTAGTTGACGCGAGAGAAAAAAAATCGTTTCAGCTCTTGGCCCCGCCTACTAGACGGCTCGCCCCGCCGCTCTTCCCAAATGACGGGCCGCCCGACCAATAAAAAGGCTGCCTTCGGGGCCAAGCGGGCGGGTTCGAGTCTCCACACAACATTAGAGTCTGCCTGAGGGGACGAAGTCCGCCTCTTTTTTTCCCCCTTTCTTTTTTTTTTTTTTTACATTAAATCCTGCTCCCGTTTGTAGAACGAGCCGCCTCGTGGGTCTCCGGGAGAGTCCCCGAGTCGGGCGGTGCCTCTTTCTACCCTCGCCCACTCTCCGACCGAGCGGCGAAGAAGCCA